TTAAAATTCAAATTTCAAATTTGGGTATGAGGTGGAGATGGGGTGGCCGGGTGAGGGGGGATGCGACGGCAGGGTGGTTGGCCGGGGCCGGGGATGTGGCCGGCGGTGGACCTCCAAGGGGGGCAGCGGCAAGTGGAGATGGGAGGGCTATTCTTGTAGTGGATGGGAAGGAGATGGATACGAATACGAACGAGAAGATAAAAGAAAATAAATCTAACCACGAATCGCGGACTCTTCCAACGATTGGTGGGCCTTGCGAATTGCTCCCCTTGAGCTCTCTTCCCTCTCAAGCACTCATGCTAGAAAAGTAGAAACAAACATAGCTTTTCATTCATCATTCATTAGGTATTACAAGAGAAAAGACCCATATATATAGGTCTCAAGCATACAAGAAGAAATAAAGACTAAATTGCCCTCAAGGCCCCAACATGACTCAACTCAACATAAGGGTATAAAAGGAATACATAAAATAAAATGCATAATAACTAAAATATAAGCTCTGAATCGTGGCCGTCGATCTGCGATGCTTCCGGCGATACACCTGTTTGAACCTTGGATCGATGTCCTCATCACTATTGAACAAGCGACAAAGCTTCTTAAAGAATGAGCATTGGATGACTGACGGTGGTTGAGAAGGTCCTCAGATAATGAGGGAGAATTGGGTGAATTAGAGGAGTTGAAGAAGGTTTGAGAAGGAAAAATAGAAATAACATATTAGCACTACAAATGGCAGGTAGAGTTATAAAATTCTCAATGATTTGTAGATTTTGCCTTCATTTATAATGTGTTTTAGAAGTCCAAAATGCGTAAAATTATGACCTATTTATCTATTGTTGGAAAAGAATTTTGGCCTTTTTATCAAAATCTTCCAAATTTTCATGAATATTACCGACTCCAAATAATATCTAGAAAATGATCAGATAAACCCACTCTAAAACCAACCAGGTCAGCCAAGCATCAGTGATAACCACAATCAATGATATATCTCCAACAAATGTGTGGAACGTAACATTTCAAAAATCTTGAACAAGTTTAATAAATTTAATTGATTAAAATTTTGACAATTTAATTAACCAAAACAAATCTAGAAACATTCGTAAATCAAATTTAATGCCACAAGAGAAAAGATGATATGTCACAATCTTGGTATCAAAATGTCTCCTCAAGAGCAATCCAACATCACAAACAACTCATGAATCACAGCCACATGGAAGCCATGATAAACATAGAGCAACTAAAAAGATGATATGCTATCATTTTTTGTGTTGAAATATTCATCTTCTCGAGAATAATCCAACAACAAAAGTAACTTTTGAATCAAAGGCTTATAGTCCATAAGAACTCAGTGAAGTCTAAATCAAAGAGGACGAACTGCATGCAATCTAATGCATATTAACATGATCTAAAGCTGAGGCAGAACTGCACGTCAATAGAGAGTGTCTAATTGTCAATTGTTAAGACCCCTATCCAATTAACTGGGGAACAATGGTGACCACTATCCAGGGCATATGCCTTATGCCTATGGTTGAGGAAGAAAGAGAGGTAAGCTCAATCCTCTTGACCTACCTTGGTTTATGGAACCACGAACCCATGTTGCCAAAGGGTAACACCTTCCTGATCCGTGTGTGACCCCAAGCCAATTTGGTTACCATAAATTCAATATATTAAGTCTCAAACTTGCTTGAATTCAAATGATTTAAGTGTCATTGTAATCTTCGCAACGAGACGGACATTTTGATTGTAAATTTGTGATATATCAGATCAATTTTTTTAGTGCTTCGAGATTTGCATCAAAATTCATGCTAATCAAATAGAAAATTAGCGGCCACATTAATAAAAAAAATCTCATCAGCCAAGTATTCCCTGATATGAAGAAAAGAAACCAGCATACCAAATTATAAGATTTTCTGATCCTTTGAACTTCTGCAGAAATATTCTTGATCTGATATCAGCCTGTGACAAGTATTTCCAAGCACCAAGTTATCAGCAACAACTTACTCAACACAAGATGCGCAGTAGTTCTATTTAAGCTAACTATGTTAAACAGACATGATGCATAACCAACCTGTCGGATTGGCTCGGGTACACGAAACTTGCAGCACAGCTTGACAACTCTGATGGATGAATCAATAGATATTCGATGACCGGGTGATATGTAAATTGGTTTTAATGAATCAGGAGTAGAAAGCACTGCCTGAAAATTTGAACCCAGCATTTATCCATTCTATGAAAGGCCGGTAATAGGCTTTAATACTATAGTGAAGAATTTATGACAGAACAAACCTAGAACGGATTTTGATGACCAAAAAACATCTCAAATTGTGATGAGTAATTTAATCAGCAACAGAGCATCATTATTTTTGTAACATGTAAATTTTTGAGATAAAAATTTCTCCTAAAAATTATATCATATTTTTCACATCTCTAGAAAATTTTTAAAACTAATTTTATAAAATTCTATATTCAATTTCAACCATTTTGATATATAGAAGCATGTATGAAAATACATACCTATATTAAGTTATATAATTTCTTTAACAAATTAAATTTAGTCTAAGTTTTAAATTTAATTCTATTGCAGAAGGGATTACTCTACTGTAGCAAAATGGAATCTTCTAAAATTTCGTGCCATGCAAGAATAAATCGATAAATTGAGGATAAAAATAGCTTGTAGGATATCTTAATTATATAATTCATCAATTAAAATTCGAATAGTCTAACCCTATCTATTCTAATTTCACCCTTTTTTATCCTTGTCTTCTACTTCATTCCCAAATTCTAGCTAGCATTGGTGGATGTGTAGAGTATTAAATCGAATTAAATATTTAATACTTATTTATTAATAATTACCTAATAACCTAAGCTAAACCTAAGACATCCTTAACCATTCCTTCTTAACCGCCACCCGGAGGCAAAGAAACCTAAATAAATAGGGCCCGGTACAGGAAAACACAGGAAAAAAAAGGGAAAAGGGAAGGAAAGGAACGGACAATTTGGATTTGAGTTACAAGAGTAAAGGCGTTTAATTTGAGGTAAAAATATTGTTTGACGTTAATTGATTTGATTTCGATGAGACAAAATTAAAAATTTATCTTAATTTAAGAAAATTGCTATTATTAAATTGTTTACTGAAAAAAAAAAGCGTTGCGTTGATAAAAATAAAGGCATTCATCCTAAATATGATCCTATAATTTTGGTGAGATACTCGATCACTAATATCAAGAGCAAATAATTCTTAGAACTTAATAATTGTCAAATTCTATAATTTAATTGAATTGTAAATAGTTATTTCTTCATATTGACCATGACACGATAATTTTAATAAGTCAAATAAACTATAGGATCTTCATTTTTACAAAAATTGATGATTTTTTAACAAATAACATTTATATTGTTTATTGAAGTGCATAAATATTATATTTCACATATCATTTCAACTATTGATGCATGTTAAATAGATTAAATGATAACAAGTTGTTGATCCCTATACGTAAATACGTGCAAAAAAAGGCAAAATTGGGAAATTAAATGACACACGCGTCAGTGCAACACGTCACTTGAAAGGTCAAAGTGTCAAACGACCTCTGATAGACAACGGACTTCGCCATTGCAATCAAAACGTCGAATTTTCCTAGAAGAGAACCCCTTGCAGTCAAATCAGACAAGATTGGTCAAAAGGGAAGACCGACACCCGAAATCAATGCCCAAGGTAGCCTAAATAACATCTGAATGCAAAATGGACTAAGTCGTTGCGTTTGGAGCGTCGTCAATAACCAAAGAGGACTGTAAATTCATTCAATTGAAGTCACGCGAGGAGATCGGCATGGGTCCCGAGGCAACGACGCACAAATCGAGGAAATTGACACACGACATCGCCCAAACCACATCCGATCACAAAACAGACTGTGTCGTTGCATTCAGAACGTCAACAATACCCAAAATCAGGAATAATCTTACCCAAAAAATTTGTCCAGCGAAATCGGTGTGAATCTCAATGCAATGGCGTGCAAATCGGCCAATCGGGAAAAATGCACACAAATCAAGATATTTTTTGAATAATTGACCCATTCTACCATTTCAGAATATAATAATAATAATAATAACATATTATTGTTATTATTATTATTATTATTATTATTAATTTGATTAATTAATAAAACCAAAAAAAATCAAAATCAAGATTCATACCTCGTATCCCGTCAAAGTCCTACTCAAATCCCCGAAATCCCGCTGATCTTCGCCTCTCCTCCCATAAATCTCAAGACTGCAACTTGCCTCGATCGTAGCTTGCTTCGTCGTTAAAACGATGTCGAGCAAGACGTTGCGGCTTCTTCGTTTCTTTCCCTTAACTTCACGAGCTCTCTGCTTCCACGACCTCTAGATCCGATCCTCCAAGCCTAACCGGACACTTCTGATCCATCTCTCGCCTCCTCAGAATCGAGCCCCCACTGTATCGATCTCGAAGACCAACCCAGATCAAAACCCCACAGCAACTCACGCCTCATCCCTCTCCAACTCATGACCACAGCAGCTCACACTTTCTTCCTCTCCCACCTTCTCCACCTACAGTCAAACAACAACACCACACTCCAGCTCTTTCTGAATTGCAATAGCTTTTCAGTTGTTTGAACAACCACCACCACCAGTTGAACTCGTTTCTCCTTACCTGATCATTCGGCCTACACTACAACTGAACGGCGAAACCTCCTTGTTAAGTCCGAACGACAGCATCATGCTAGGCTTCTCTTATTCACTTGAGGATCTATTATACTAGTAGTCATTCTCCTTACAACCTCCAAACCACATAACTCTATTCACCTGCTATTAAGCAGGGCTTTCTCTACTTACCCGCACAACTCATTACAAGACATCCTTCTTAGCCCCTCCACTGCACTAGTGCCAACTCCTGACACCTTCAGCCTCCAACAGCCCACTCGGCCCTCTTGTTCACAAAGATAGCCCACCTACAGCTTTTTTCTTCTTTGGTTTGCACGCCAACAGCCACATTATCCAACTCAAAATAACCAAACAGCCCACACATCTCCTCCCTTTATCCACTTAGCCCATTCCAAACTTAAACCTAAACAAGCCCAAATCAGCTCCACCTCACAAATGCCCACAATCCCTCCAACAAATTCTCCCACAACCAACCCAACTAGCCATAAGCCCAATTCACTCTCTCACAAATTCCTACAGCACCTTAAACTCCTCCAACAGCCTCTCAAAAGTAACCAAAGCCCCTCATTTCTTGTTATTATTTTATTTTATTATTATTATTATTATTATTATTATTATTATTATTATTATTATTATTATTATTATTATTATTATTATTATTATTATTATTATTATTATTATTATTATTATTATTATTATTATTATTATTATTATTATTATTATTATTATTATTATTATTATTATTATTATTATTATTATTATTATTATTATTATTATTATTATTATTATTATTATTATTATTATTATTATTATTATTATTATTATTATTATTATTATTATTATTATTATTATTATTATTATTATTATTATTATTATTATTATTATTATTATTATTATTATTATTATTATTATTATTATTATTATTATTATTATTATTATTATTATTATTATTATTATTATTATTATTAGCGGGGCAACTTCTAAGTACCCGTGTGCGCGCCTCAGTGCTGGCGGGGAAAAAACTACATGTCTTTCAAGTTTCAAACAGATACCTCGAAGACCCATATATGTCATTATTCGCATGGTGGGATTAAAGATCATGGTCGCGGTGTCACCTGATACCTACAATACACATCTTTCTTGGCGTGGTGGTAAGACCCAGACTCCTGAAATTTTTCTTAAATAGGGGAGATGCCGGGAGGCTGCCGGAACATGAACTGAATAGAGGACCTAAAACTTGAATGATAACAAAGGACTAAAACTTGAACCATAGCAGGGAACTTGAACCTGCACAAATCGATAAGGAATCGAACTTTAATTTGAAAATGCACGAGCATATAAACTCTAAATGAACTTGAGATGAGTATTCAAACGAACACCAATGTGCAAATAAGAACTTGAATTAAAAGTCAACGAACAGGAAATACTTGCAATGAATATCAATAAATAAATAAATAAATAAACTTACGTTGGACACAAGTCCAAACAAATGCATCAAGCAATAAAAAAGCTCTAACACACGCAATGAACTATCTACGAATGGTAATAGGGGGCATGCAGTAATACGCTCACGAGCAGAGCATGGAGACAAACACAATAACTATAGTGACTTCCCTATAGTCAACAGTAATTTGCAAGCGAACACATCAAATCCCTACAAATAATGAAAGGCAATGTGTGATGGATATGGTGAACTCCTGTAAATGGCGCCAATCAATATACAATTAAAAAATGGGAAGCTCCTTGCAAGCACTGATAAGTGAATTACGTCAAGTGCAACGTACTATTTACCGACAAAAATGACAAGCTCGTAATACATACAAGAACTCACAAGAATGTGGTGATTGCGAACACCTGTTGAGGATGATGGGAGATTTGTCATATATACAATAAACTTATGAGTGTTAATTAGTAACGGGCGATGAATGCAATAATGCACTACAAACAACTTCAACATGTGAGAAAGCACATACAACTGTGCAAGCAGCAATGATTGATTACATAATGCACCATCAATTAAGAGGTGTTTGATGAATTTGAAGTGGATGCGGCTTGCAAGTAGCGAATATCGCTGCAAGTAAATACACTAAGCCGCCTATGGACGATGACGACTGACATGATATATTTGTGGATAACAGCAGTGTATATGCCATGAGCACGGGGATACCCTGCAGACACAAGGGCACACATTATACATAAGTAAGAATTAAGAATCTGCAATAAATACGAGCACCTACCAGCAATTGCAGGAAGTTCATGTACACCGCATGCTACCTACAAGTGAGTTTGAAGGAATTATAGCAAATGCACCTGCTAATAAGCAGTACTAGAAGATTTACATTCCCTGTGACTTGTCTACATATGATAGCAGAAGGTCCATAGTGCACACAGCATATAGTCTACAAGCAAGAATAATACATTGGCAATGCATACGAGCTCCTGCAAGCCATTGTAGGAGATCCCCATTCATACAATAGTCTACCTACGAGTGACGCCTAGCAACATGCAACCAACACAACCAAGTTCCTTGCAAACATACACAATGCAGCAAGCAATGAACGCTATGATTCACATGTAAGCAAAAGCATGAAATCAGTAGTAAAAATCACATACCACAGAAACGCAGCGCAAAGCCACCGAATCCGCAAAATTCGTATAAGCGGTCAGAAGGCGTATACAAGCTCTTAAATAAAGTATTGCATACACCCAAATGACAATCATGCGTAGCTGATCAATATCAAAGACTTTAAAATGCATTCCCACATGCATTAGAACATGCAAAACATATTATGCGAGCATATCATTCAAACATGCAAAATGTATTGCCCTGTGACTGTGCATTATGTTAATATACAATCGTACTATGCATTCATACATTTCAACATGTAAAATGCATCATACATATACATGCTGCAACGCACAAAATGCAATACTCAAGCATATTATCCAACATGCAATGTGTGATGCCCCAAGATCTAACTTGGAAAGAATGTCAATCAATTACTCAAACAATTTACCAGAGTTATCTAAAACCTTCAATTAACCAGTCTATCAAACATCTATAAAATTTAAAACATCAATATACAAGTCAATTCATATCTCAAAAAGTCATGTACAATACTCAGGAACTACACTACAATCACCAGTTCTGAAATCTATCCTGAGCACAAAAGAATCACTATCAATCAAAAGACAAAAACCTGAAAATCTGGATCAATTCCTATCTTCTTCTCCCTTGCCCTGACCTGAAAATATCAACCACATATAATGAGCTTTACAAAGCCCAGCAGGTCACCTAATACCTATAACTGAAATCAAAGCACGGCTATGCTGTCAATATGCATGTCAGTCAATCAAATCATATCAGTCAATGGTCAATGAATCTATGCAATACGGAAATCCAATAGTCAATAAAACCAGTCAATGCAGCGGTAGACGAATCAATAAATCAACTCAATAAATCCATGTCAATCTCGAAGAAATCCGTACACAGAAGAAAATCAGTCAATCCGTCAAATCCATCAAGTCGTCGAATCAATCAATCTGTTAAATCAATCGCTATCAAATCAAATCAATGCGGTCTAATCAATACTATATATTCAATGAAATCAAACGAGGAAAGCAGTACGATAAATCTCAATCTATTCTAACAGTGAATCCATGCGGCAGTCAATACGGTGCAGAAACAGTAACAACAGTGAATCTCAAGATCAATAAATCCATAGGCAGTAGTATAAGCAGAAATCAATGAATCTATAGGCAACAGTATCAATGATTCTATACTATTCATGTCCATGCTATCAATGCAATATCTATATCCATCCATTTCTATATCAATGCTCAATGTCGATGCACAGCAATCAATCAGTGAAATCAATGAAATCGTACGATCTAATGAATCCAATCAAAGTCGATAAAGCAGGAATCTATAAAAACAACGAATCCATAAAGCAATACAGTAAACATGCAATTCAATACTATATACTGGACAAGTATAATCAACTGGCTATGTTGCTGTTGTAGAATCCATATTGTTGTTGTAGATCCGTACATTGGTTCTATCAATAAGAGTCGTCACTCTTTTCGCCCGTCGGCATTTCTATAAACTCCTTATAACTCCCAATCGTTATATCAATGATCAATGGTTTAAAGGAAAGCCCGTCGGCCCACCATCCTGTACAGGTCAATATCAATCTCCAACCAATGTTCAACCAGGCTATACGTGTTTCCCAGTATCAATAATCAGTTCAATAATCAATATTAATGCAATCTATAACAATCATATCAATAATCATAAGCACATCAATCTAATCTATCAATTCCAAGCAAATCCGAAAATCTACGAAAATCGGGCAGCGTAACGGCAGTCGGTCAAATTTACACAAAAATCCTGCAAAAAGGCACAATTTCCAAATTCTTCCAAATTACAATAGAATATCTATAACATCAATACAAGACTATTGTCCTATAGAAATCAAATCAAATCAAGTCCTGATATTTTTCTATTCGATTAAAATCGCGTAGAATCAATTCCGACCGGTAAAATCGTCGCAGAATATAGTCAAATCGTGTACAATAGTCATATCTATAACATACTAAAAGTTGTGCGGTGAAAGTTGTGTCAAATCAAAATCATGTCGAAAAGTCGACTACGAAAACACAAAACAGATCACAACTCGGTCAAAACTCAATATCTTTGAAAACAGAAATAGGATTCGGAGTCCTTACCACGAGATCTTCACTTTTCCCAACAGCAGCGTCGGACGAAAAGCGCTCCGCGGCCTCTAAAACCAGGTTTCTCCTCTTTTCCCTTCTCTTTCTCTCTCCTCAAATCAGATATTTTTATTTTAAAATGATTTTCTCTCTCATCAAAACGACTTGATTTCTTTAAATCATTAAGCTGATCGGCCCGGCCGATCGCCAAATCGTCCCGGGACGATCAGACCAAAAATATCGTCCTGGACGGTTCCCAGAACTATGTTCAGGCCGATATTTTCTACAGTGCCGATCGGCCTGGACGATCTCAAATCGTCTTGGACGATCCTGAGAGGAAAATCCAAATCAGAGAGGAACAGTAAGGGAACGAGGTCTCACACAATGCATACTATACAACAGCAGTGTGGCGCGGCAGCATGCTAGGTCTACATGCAAATATATCATGCACTACCTGAAAGTGTTGAATCGTTATACAAATATATTATGCAAACAAACAGGGAATGCATTGATGCATCACACACACATGTCATGCAAATATATCATACGCTATGTTAATACATTAGGCCGCTACATAGCACATCAACATATCATGCAAGCATGACTTAGCAACATGTAAATGTAAAATGCATCATACATACATACATGTAAATATGCAAATGCATACATAAACTTGTTCATGTGTAGATGAGGATGAAATCATGTACATGAACATGTATATGGGTAATCGACCCAACCTAACCACGACAAGGATCCTTCGGTTAGTTCATCATCATCCCCACCATCAACTTTAAGTGCGCAGTGATAAATTTCAATTTTCGATATCTAATTTTCCTGCTACTATATGCCAGATCTATGTATATATTTAACGACAAGCCTTAATTAAACGTTCACTCTAATTACCGAGAGGGGTAATTAACCATAGGGGCTTGTGCCTACAAGAAACCTGAACTCATATCATAAAGTCCTCGCAAAATGAGAGAAATCTCTAGGTTGTGGCTTATCTACAAACTCAATCTATCTCTGAAAATTTGCCTCAGAACTTAAACGTTAAAACTCTCATCGATGACTCGAAAAAGAAAGGGGTCGCGGAGAGATCGATGTGCGAAATTTCGAAGCCCACACAAGTGAATATCAATGCTAAATAATTTCAAATATGAATAATGATAATATTAAATTGAAAGAAGTAAATGAACTCATGTCAAGTGAGATGGATTGACAAATAATGATGATCTGTGCAGGAAGAGGCAAAAGTTCTAATGAGATGAGCTTCTATAAGGAAAAAAGAAGATTCCCAACTCTCCTTCCTAAAAAGTTGATATTATAAGATTCAACCTTAAAGCCGAGAGGTCGTTGATAATTGCTATATTGGATTGTCCAAACTTCTTTAGGGCTGGCAGGCTAGATGACAACCAACAATATAAATATGCCAAAAGCCAATAAGCATTATATGACATTTTTTAAGGAATTAATGAGTAATAAAGAAAAATAAAAATGGAAGTGATGTAAGGAAATTAATAAGTGCATTTCGTAATGTAAATAAAATGAAAAGACATGCACCTTGAGATCAGTGCAAGGAAATGAAAGAACAAATCATACGGGGTGAGACTACCACTACAATGGGGAACTTCTCTAGGATTCCTTTAGGCTAATATAATAAATCATGTTACCGGAATGGAGCTAATGTTCACAGGCAGCTCAAGTTCAAGCTCACATGAAACTACAGCGGTGTGAATCTATGTATTTTTAGATCAATAACTGATTTTGATAATGTCAACATAACCATTTTCAATGATAAACAGTCATTTCCTGATGCTTTCCCACGAACTTCGTCCATAAATTTTTTTTGACGTAGACTACTGATCTTAAACCACTAGTTTCAAGATCATTAAGACACTTTCACTAAGAAATATTCACTTGCAAAAATTAAGATATAAAATTTTTCAGTAGTTAGAATTCAGAAAGGAAGGGGAATGAAGACCAAGAAAATACTGACTAAACTACTTGGGTATAAAGCACTCTTACTGCTCCCCAAGTTTGTCCAGATTTCCCAACTAATGGTATAACATCCTTTGCCATGCTTTCTCCACCTTGGAGAAATTGCATTACTCCTGACCGGGTAAGACCGTCCACATGATGCAGCTGGAAGCAAGGAACAATTAAAGTCCGAATAAGAGATTCAAAAAAGAATTAAATAAAAGGTATATAGTAAATATGTGTTCTATTAAACAAAGGTAGAAAAATATTCTTACTGCAAAAGTTTTCCAGTTAAATGGCATAATAGAGGTATGACCATATATTCACCATATTAGAACAAATTGCAGAGCAATGCTCATTATCATTCGCTTTATCCTAATTATTTTGGGTCAGCTTTCTAAATCATTGACAGAGGGTCATGCTGCAAATTAAAATTGCAAGAATAAAGCAATGAAGATTGCACATAAAATCACATAATTCCTAAGGGAGGAGTATATTAAGAACCCAGCTTGGAGACTTTGATATCAAGATGTTAGATGGGTCAACTTGAAGACTCAAGAATGCTCGATATGTTCCTTATTTGAAAAGAAATTTAGTTTATGTGAGTCAGCTTGCAAACTCATGTCATGTGACATCATTCACAAGAGATTTGTGAAAGGTGACAAAATGAGTTATGGTTATAGCTCATGGCAGCGTTGAAGCCACCCTATAAGTTATGGTTATACTACAACAGAATGATGTTACGGAGCACATAAATAGAACTATCACTGAGTGTCACTACAGGAAAATCGTCTATCGCCGGTGGATTTGGATATTTCAAGCGGCTTTCCGAAGGAAAAATTTTCGCTAGTAAAACCCATGAAGGAAACAAAATGCGACGGGATTCATGGGAATCGCCGTCGGCAATTTTCGACGGTTGACCGTGGTAAGTTCCACCCTTTTCCATCGCATTTCGTTGTGTTGCCCCATATCAAACATTTATGACGAATATTCCATCGGAAAGCAACCGAAAACCTGTAGCAATGAAAAAAAAAATGACAGCCCCTTATTATTCCGCTGCAACATTTACAAGAAATACATGCAACAGTTAATGGATGTACACAAAACAAGATATATCATCATTATACAACATTGCTACTCAAAATAAAATAAAACCATTCAAAGCATGAGTCTAACAACTTCAAAATTCAATTGTTCACCATAAAAACTGTTCAAAAAGAAATCAAAACACAACAATAATGTCACATTCAAAACATAACAATAAGGTCGCAACGAAAATAAATTCTCCAAACTACTACAACTTAAACATTAAGTTTTTTAATCATCTTCCGTCTCCTCACTCCCCTCATATTCATGCTTAAATTGCTGACCATTTTTCTTTTTATTTTGGCTTAGGTATGATCGAAATTATGCCTGCATCTCAGTCTGCTATGTCAGTATGTTGGCATACACCCTCCCCTTTTGTCTCCCTCCAACAGCCTGCGACCACATGTGGTACTCAGAGTACTGCATCGCCTAAAGATGATCCCTCAGTAGTAGAGGCCTAACCCTCCCTAAGTCATATAAAATCATCCTATGAGAGACTAAGTCCATAAAAATTCATTTCTATTTGCATATTATTTATGATTACTATTAAAAAATTGATACTCACATGATCTTTATGCGTCTTCTCATCAACCCACTGATGATCAACTTGATGTTGGTGTGTTCGTATATGCAGCTAATATTTGAGGGCACCTTCTTCCCATAAGAGCTTGAGGTCGTTAATTAATAGTTGTAAAAAATATCAATTTTTTCTTTTGAATTATGTGGTCCTGGTATTACAAGTGTAAATAACATATACAGAGTAGCCATGCACTTTTCTGGCTGAAGTTTATACGGTGTTAATATAACAAGCCAACAAGAGTAAGGTGAAGTTGTCTGACTGTATTGAGTGAAACCATCAGCACATAATCTCAATCTTATGTTACATAGCTCTACAGTGAATGAAGGATGTGTCATATCAAAATGTTTTCATACTTCAGTATCTGATGGATGAGAAAGAACATCACTGTGAGCTAACTTCTCTTTAAGCCATCTCATATGACCTACTCAACTGATTGGCCTTGGAATAATTGGTAAATAAGATGATCGAGAATAAGGAACGTCCTTCTTTTGATGTTATTTTCCTGAGTTGGGTTTGAACCGAGACGCACTGCATGTACGACAGCAAATTTGTGTTGCATCATCCTTGTAGTACAACATACAATCATTCATACAACAATCAATTTTTATAGTTGTGAGAACCAACTTTGATACTAATTTTTTTAGTTCGATACAAATCTATGAGAATTAAATTGCCCATTGAATTTTTTTCCTTGAGGAGACCAATGAAGTCATTGAAGCACTCCTGAGGGATATTATATTCAGTTTATATACTAAGCATCATGACAACAACTAATAATTCCAAATGAGTTGTACAACCATCCCAAATTGATTTTTAAGAAGCACGTATTAATTCAATTTTTTTTTTATTTCTGTGTTAGGTGGCTCTTCCATGCGTCCTCTTAAATTCGGACCCGCTCCATCAAAAACAAGTTCTTCAAATGTTCTATTAATTTGATCTTCGTCCATTGTTCTAGAAGTTGTGGTTAGACCGACATGAGTATCTCTATATGGCTCGTATTAGCCATTTGAAGTTCAAAACCAATATCCAGGAACAAAACCCCTATGATAAAAATCAAGATTAACACCCTCGGGTTTAAGAAAAGCTTGATTTTTGTGCTTCGAGCATGGACATCTAAATATTCCATCCGACTTAAATGAAGGTAGTTGACATGCAATGTGAATGAAAGAATCAACTCACTTAATAAATTTATTTGTCAATGTTTTTTATCCCGGTAACAATCTATTATATATCCAATACCTCTCCTCTTGGATAGTCATATGGATGTTAAATTAATAATCCTAAAATTAAATAAATATACAAAAATTCATTATTCTGGTGCACAACTCCAAGGGTATAGAGTGCTTAGGTATCAAAGTCTACATAATCATTAACTTACACCTTATAAATTGTTCAATTAATAACTAATAAATGACAAAAAATCTAAACCCTAAAATCCAAAATGTCTCAATGACAAGTTAGTAAACCCTAAACATTAAAAATCACACATAATCATAAATAAATTAATTCTAACATCACTTAAATTCTTTCATACATCACTCAAATTCATGTATGATCATTCAAATTGAAATTATCCTTTAATATCTACTCCAAAAATTTATCACATAACCCTAAACCCTAAGAAATTAGTTAGTACACCAAAATAAACAAACAAAAAGCTCTCTAAACAAGAAAATATTTACTATACAACAAGATCTATGAATTTATACAACATGTGAAAAAAACTCTCTAAACTCGAAATAACATGAGTTCTACCGTTCCAATTACATTAAAAATTAAAGGAGTAAAGAGAACGAGTTTTACCTCCTAAATCTTGAAGAAATGGAGAAAAATGACCAAGAAATCACTTGGATCGGCGAATGGGGGTGTAGCAGCTGTGGGCTGTCTCTGGGCTGAAACCATGAAAATAAAGAAGAGAGGGAAATTGGGACAAAATAAAGCCTTTTCCGATGGAATTTTAGGCAAACGTTTTCTCCGGACATGAATTACTTATTAACGGCGAGCAATTTGATGGAAATAAAATGCCAGGAGCATTGTTTAAAATTGCGCAATATGAGGCTCGCATTGAGGTCCGCCTCAATGCAATTTCAATAAAAAACGCCTTAAGGCTTACGCCTCAAGCTTTTTTATGAGGCTTACGCCTCATCTTGGCTGAGGCGTGCCTCGCCTCGCCTCGCTAGCATGAGGCATACGCCTCGCTCTATTATGTATGTTTTTATTAAAAACTTAGTTAAATCCAATATAAAATCCCTAAAAACATCATGACCTCTTGTGCTCCAAAGCCGTATTAACTTCCTCTCAACTACCTCGACCTCCAGCCCACCGCCTTCATCGTAGCCACCACCATCAGAGCCGCCACTGGGGATCACTTGAAATCCTCATATCGCCACCATCTCCTATAAAAATTTAAGTATTACTCTTATTTTATGTTGATGAAAAACATTTATAAAAGATGAAGATGGCTGATATAACTAAAGAAGTATATTGTTAGGTATTGGACCCTACAGGATTAGACAAATGAAGGACCAATGTTTTATGACGACTCAAATAAAAATCCCCTTAGTAATGATAGTACAGACGATTTCTGATTTGTTGTCAATCATTAACTTTATTAGTAATTAAATGTAGATGAGTAGGGAACTGAGAAAAAAGAAATTTATAGTTAAACTTGATGCTATATGATACGTTTATATAATTCATGTATTTTATGTTGTTTTTCTCATGTGATATTTGGATTTCAATTCTATTTTATATAATTTATTACTTATTACTTTATATTTTGAGTATTTTTTTTCATATATATATATATATATATATTATTATATAAAAAATTATTTTTAACTTTTATTTTTTACTTTACGCAATTTTTAGATTTTGAGGTTTACGCCTCAAAAAATCCCTTGAGGCTTACGCCTCGCCTCATGAACAAAAAACGCCTCAATACCCAATTACGCAATTTTAAACCTTGGTCAAGAGGCGTAGTAGCCGGCGAAATTTTTTCATCACACATTCAAGCAAAATTACCTACATAAAAAACCGCCAGTATCGAGCAACTGTTTTTTTGCCGGTAATGCCGTTAGAAAGTCTGATGAAAAAATTCTGCTGAAAATTCCATCGATTTTGGATGATTTTCCTGTAGAGCGTGCTAGAAGCATGAGATTATATGCAGGTCTACCCAAATAGTTATGGGCAGAAGCAATAAATACTGGTGTTTATCTTATCAATCTTGGTCCATAATTTATTTTGAATGAGAGATTACCTAAGGAAGCCTGAAGTGGCAAAGAGGTAAGTTTATCTCATTGAAAGTCTTTGTTTGTTATCTTATGTTCATGTTAATGCAAGATTTAGGAGTAAGCATGATCCAAAGTCTATCAAGCGTAAATTTATTAGATATGACTCTGATGAATTTAGCTATAAATTTTGGGATTATCATAATCAAAAATTTAGGAGCATGGATGTCATATTCAATAAAAATGAAATGTATAAAGATAAAAATGAG